AACACTGAAATGTTTGTCATTAATAATATGTACAAAATAGTTTTCTCTTAGAAGAGATACAAAAAAGCAAGAGTAACTAGCAAATTATATGAAAATATTAAATAAGCAAAGAAGTAGAACACAATCTCAAAATACCCAAGAGATTTTTGGTTAAAAGACTTATCTGCTGAAAGGCAAAAAAGTACCTTTTGTTTTCTTACACATTCATTCAGTAATGTCTTTAAAAATGTTAGCAATAACTAGCCTTGGTGTCCATTTCCAAATTATGTAATGGCTGAGATTTGTAAAGAACATACGTTAAAAGACAAACAAAAGCATCCCGCCTGACCCAGCTGCCTGAAGGTGTGGGCGAGAGGCCAGAGGCTACCTGGTTTATTGTATGCTATGACCAATCATCTTTACTTGCCTTTCCTTGTATGGCTCCTGTTTTCTTTTTTTTGTTGGTGGGTTATTGATCAGAAAGACCAGACAATAGCACCTGCCAATATACCCGCTCTCCTTTCTAAGGATATGCTAGTAGACTCAGCTTAACACTTTACCTGTGGTTTTACGAAGCTCTGTTCAGAACAACTTTACAAAAGGGAGGGAAGGCTTAATATACATTCTACTGAACAGGGGCTTTACTCTGCCAGTCAAATGAGAGGTGAGCTAACTAGATACTCTTTTGACTTACCACACCCCTTTTGGACAAAGGGAAAGAAATGCATTTTAACAGAGACACAGATGCGTTTCGAATTTAAAAATTAAAATACAGATTATTGCTTGGAGTCCACAAAAATGTAATTATGCCAAGTTCAAATATGCGATATAATAATTAATATATATAAAAAAGCCCAAATAAAGGAAAAGCACGTAAGCGATGATAGAACATTTCATATACTGAGTAAAGATGAATATCTGACACTTAAAATTGTTGTTAAAAACAACTCATTATTTCTTAGAACCAAACTCATTGAAATTCATCTCTATAAATCATAGCTATTAGATTTCTAATATAACAATTTCTCATCTTGGAGGCTGCACTCACATTTAACCAAAAGGTAGAAAGTTTACTTGTACTGTGAACAAACTAGTAAACAAAGACTTACATTTACTTTCAAATGGGAAATGTACATTTAAAAAATCCTTGATTATATTTAAAATATCCTATAAATAAGTAATTTTATCAAGTCCCTATAATCAATTTAAGTACATGCATGTTAAAAATATATGTGTATATTACATACATTAACAGACATTAACTCAGATGAAATGAAACACTCAATCAAATTTAAACACAGCACTTCTTACAATTGAGGAAAAATCAAGTATTAACTAAATTATTTGATGGCTCATTATGATGTATGAAATCTAAAATGACATTATAAACCAAACATAAAGAAAATGAATGAGTTCAAAATGACTTGTAGTTAATAAGTGACTTGTGAGTAATTCAAATTCCTGAATGTGTAAAAAATATTATTTCCTTAAGAACACAAATGGCCAGATATATACAAAATTTTACTCCTTATAGTTCTAACAATATTATTAAAATGTTTAAAATATAACTTACATTAAAATTGTTTAATATTCATTTATATACATATCCATTTATGTAAATTCCCAGATACTGCATTATTTAGTCTAAAGAGAATTTTAATAAACTTTTTAAAAAAGTAGATGATAATGCATATCTTCATTATCTGTACCTTTTGACTCTCATTCAATTTGTACATTTTTACAATGTAAAACATTTTGCTATTTTTAGTCAGTAAATGTATTTGATGGTAAGAAGCTTTGACAGTCCCTATCACTACCAAATAAAGAAACACTAAAGAGTGGATTAAGGTTGAAACTCCTGGGAAATTAAAAACAAGATATTTTTTCAAAAGAACTGTGGTAGATCTTTAGGTGATTTATATTTTAGTTTGAAACTAAAATACCCCAAATAAAGGAAAAGCATGTTACCTTATGATAGAACACTTCATATACTGAGTAAAGATCAATATCTGATATTTAAAAATATTATTTTATACATGTTAATACATTATATATTTTATAATTATATACACAAGAAGTTGCAAAGACAGTACAGAGAGGTCCCTTGTATCCTTCATCCAGTTTCCCCCAATGATTATATATCTTATAAAATTATATTATATATCAAAGCCAGGAATTAAATATTGATTTACATTAATAGATTCACATACAAGGATTCATGTAATGGCTATCTCATTCAAAATACAAAACTAAAGATCTCCCCCTTACTATAGTCACACTACCTCTCTCTCTCCTCCATCCTTAATCCTTAGCAATCACTAATCTGTTCTCTGTTTCTTTAATTTTGCCATTTCTGGAATGTTATATAAATGTAATTATACAAAATTTGACCTTCTATAACTATCTTTTTTCACTCCTCATAATGCCCTTGGGATCCATCCAAGTCGATGCATGTATCAATAGTCATTTCTTTGTATTGCTGAGTAGTAGTCCATGATATAGATGTAACAGAAATTGTTTATTAACTGGCCTATTAAGGGATATTTTTTATTGTTTCCTTTTTCGGCTATTAAAAAATAAAGCTGCTATGTACAGGTTTTTGTGTGGATCTGATGTGATTTGAGAAGTTTTCCTAATTAAATTATAAATTGTTTAAAAGAACATAAAATAGGATATATACCAGTCTCCCATCAGTGTGCAAAAACTAATACTAATGATAATACATGCAGCTGAGTGGAACCTAGAACAATTTTGGCATTTGTCTCCAAGACTAACACTTTTTAAATTAACACAAAGACTACCATGAATTATCTATTTGGCACTGCTGCTTCTAAGTCTGTGTTCCTTATTTTTATTTTTTTAAAATTATTGTTCCCCTAGGGAAACATTATAGATTTCTTTTTTTCCTAATTGTGCTCTTTCCTCATGATATTTTAAAGCCACAGACATTCTGGATGTTCAGTTATGTATTTGTGTATCTGTGCTTTTCACATAAAAAGAGTACTTAAAAGAAAACACACACACAAGAACCAGTTTTCGCCCTTTGTTGGTCATATTAACACCCAGCTGAGAATTCATGTCCTAAAGTCATGAAAACACATCAGTGAAAATAGTCTGACATGCATAATTAGAGCAGGTGGGTAGCCAACTGCTGGAACCTTTCTAAAATTATTGCTCCATTTTCAAACAGCAGCACAGAGTTGACCCCCAAGATTATTCCCCTATGTTAGAATTTGGTTCCCTGTGTGTGTGTATGTGTGTGTGTGTGTGTGTGTGTATAAGGAAGCTTTTGCATGTGTGTATTAACTATACATAAACGTAAGCATATAATAGGAAAATGTTGAAATGATACACAAGAAACCAATAATGAGTAAGAATGAGATTCTCAGAGCAAAACAAAAAAACAAAAAAATGTGAAACACCATTTTAGTTTTTTCTTTTGAATACAATAAGCATCATTACATTTTAAATGGAAAGTATCAGCCCATCTTCCATTATGTCTAACAGCCATTTATTATTCCAATATCTGAATTATATGATGAGATCAACCAAGAGACATTAAAAGTAAAATGAAACCCTGAGTAATCATTCAAGACATCTGCAAGTATCTTGACAATCTAATAAATAAGGTCTGCCATTGAGCCTTCCTCACTGCAGATAAACACAACCCAGGAGGTTCGGGCATTTACATTGTTCTACTTCCTCTAGGTACAAATTCAGGAACCTAGACAACAATATTTCATACTTCTATACATTTAGCCTATATTATAAAATTTACAGTTGCCTCTGGACTATCTCTTTAAAAAACACAATAGGGTTAAATTATTATTTAATTTTTGAGAAATTATGCAAGTTTTAGATAATTGTTTAAGCAATATGAGAAAATAACAATTTCTAAAACTTGCTATTATTTTCAGGAATCTCCTAACAACATCTATAAAAAATAAATAGAATAAATCCAAAATTAATTTAATTCTCCCGAATTTCAAAAAATAAAATCAATTCAAATACAGTGCTAAAATGAATACATTGTGAATGAAATGATATATATACTTAGAATTTATATTGTACAATGATAACTTCAAAAAAAATGTTAAATGCCTCTTATTCAAGTCTTATACTGTGGGTCTGTACCTGCTCACTCTTGACATATCATGCTTTGTCTAGGAGACAGAAAAACTCAGTAGAGGAGCAGAGGGAGGGGCAGGGAGGCACAGAGCAGGCCCAAAGCTATGCAGCAGAACTGAGCAAAGGACTGTTGAGTGAGAGAGGCAAGACATATGGCAAAATAGCAGGCATTTCCTTACCCCTCACTGCTGTTCCTAACACCATTGCTCCTCAGGACTGGGAACAGTGCCACATTCCTCCTTTATCATTCTGCATCTACTCTGAGTGCTCCCTGACACAGTGGAAGATATTCAGTAAATGTTAATTTAATTGGCGGTCTTCATTGTCATCATTTCTGCCATCCTGTGCTGCTTTGGTGCCAGTAAAAGTGTACCTTTTCAAACTGCTATGAGAAGGCTGCCAAGGTTTTTCGAGCAAACCATATCTCATCCACAGTCTAGTTAAGCTATCCCTATTTAGACCTAAGTTACTCTTTTAGAATCGACTGGATGCTTAACTAATTGTTCAATACATTGAGAAGAAGGAGGCTGGGCACATGAATATTTTATCTTCCAAAGTCAAACACTAACAACCCCTCTTACATTGTCAGATAATCTTACGCATGAGGAGTAATAAAAATAGCAAACAAGAAAAGAAGCAACCCATATGGCTGTTACTATTGCTTCCAATCTTATTAGAAATAACAAGCCATTTGAACCACATAGCTGCCCCTCATCAGTTCAGATTTACATTTTATTACTGAGTAGGCAGAAAATGTTAACTTTTTATGAGTCCTGCTAGTTGGTAATTTAAGTCTGTATCAGGCACTGAAAGTTTGTAAGTTTGTCACTAAAATGATTCCATTCTATTGTACAAAAATTTTTGTAATATATTTTAAAAATTAAGTGACTTACATTTGCTGAAAGCTGAGATGTGAGGGTAGCAACTTTTTCTTGTGATGCAACCAGCTCCCTCCGCAGTTTATGGATTTGCTGAATGCAATTAAAAAAAATCAATGGAATATGCAAGTAATTTTTACTTAAAACCAATAATTCAAAACAAGAAAGCAAATAACTATATTTAGCTCATTCTAACCCCACTATATCAGCACCAACTCCTGAAAAGAAAGGATATGAACACTGACTCCAGAGTAACAAGCAAATGTCATTCAAAAGGAAAGGGTTATGTGTCAAACTCAAATCTACAAATCAAAGTACGCTTACTTGCTCCATTTGCCATCCCTCAAATGGCAAATGACTCAAGAGCAGTTTATCCTCTGTATTGATTCTTCTCCTTCTAGAAAAACTGTGGTAATAAAACTGTAGAAAAATATTTTCTTTGTAAAAACTGTACACACACACACACACACACTTTTTAAATTTTTTAGTAAAAGATACTCCATGTTCTTTTTCAGAAAATCTTAGTTTCTTTTTTCCTCTGTACATTTTAATTTCTCATAGTTTGAAAACTTCTCAAAAGCTATGGAATATCCTGCAGTCACTAAAATTTGGGCTTAATTCAACATTTAATCAGTTCACATTTGAAATGTTATTGGCTGGAGATTTAATGACTGCAGAGAAGGCTTCCCAAATCTGTATTATCATGACCTTTATTTAGTGAGTTATTATTAGCTTAGAGATGCTTTATAGCTTATCCACATCTTAAAAATCAGGGGAAAAAAGCAATGATAGGTGCAACTAATTAGATAAACCAATATAATGAAAATTCTAAAGTGTCTTTCTTTTCAGTTTGGTTCATACTCCAATAAAACTGAAACAGAAAAGGGTAAGGATATATTATATCATGTTTAAAGTTTTAATTCAAGCACTTTCTGCAGTTTAATCTGCAAGTCTCATATTGTGACTAATAGGATAGAACATTTATAACAATCTGACACTTGGTTCTATAAGTATATATCTAGTCTCAAGGGATTTCAGTTACTTGGATGTTAAACATTCTACTTTTGATGCTTCTCATTTCTTCAAAAACAAGTCTTCTATAGTTGTAGTTGAACTTTTGGAATGTTGTCTCAGTTTGAAAGCGCATTCTTGACATAGTTTATTAACTGTATAGTTTTTGCCCCTGGGCATTAGATTTTGTTGAAAACAAATGGTGGTCAACTGAAACACTCTAACAAAGTAGAGAACTCTAAGCTGGAAACAGAGATAGCAGACATTTATATAATTTCACCAAATGTGATTCTATTTAATTCCTTTTTTTTTTTTTCCAAAACAGAACACCCCAGTCTAAAATAACATTTGCTTTACATTTATAAGATAATGACTATGAATGATTTCAGAAAACGTAGCATCTATTTTATTCATAAATGAATCCAAACTCAAAAACATTTCTCAAATTAAATAGTCTATATTACATGATTCCAGTATCTTTAAAATATAATCCAGGAAACTGTAAAGTGATTGAAATTGTTTTTTTTAAACCATAATCCATGATAGAGCATCAATGATAAAAGGGGAGTTGAATAACTACTACTAAGGCAAATAGATGGAGCATTTCCATGCATCAGTAGCTATGCTATGATCAATGTTAGAAGCTTTGTCATGTCCATGTGATGTAAATAAACCACTTTGATTTTTAAAAATCATATCCACTCTTTAGTTCAGAGATTATAAAGACAAATTGGTTTAATCAATACTTTTCGAATATTTTTAAACATAGCACAAATTTTACTTTTAAAGGTTAACAAAATAAGACTTCAAAGGAAAGGAATACTTTTGCAAAAGCTGTTGCTAAGGCATTTTTTTTCCTCTGTTGTCTGATTGCCTCAGTGTAAACCAATCAAACAGTCATTACCTCACCTTGAATAAAGTCATAATTGAAGTCCTCCTGCTCTCCTTGGCCAGGACAAATGTTTTGCCAAGGGAAATTAAAATAGTATTCTCTCCTGAATGCAGTTTGATTTGCTCATGAGTGCAACCAAATATATATTTGTGAAATATGTGATTAGAACAATAGCTGCCACAGCAGACATAAAATAGCAATTAGAGGCAACAAGATAATGACACAAAACAGATAGTCTGAGATGCTGGTATCCTGTGTTGTGGAGGCTTGGTGCCCAAGATGGTCTCACAGGGAGTGGGGAAAAGACTAATAAAATAGGAAGACCATAGGCCTTCATTTATCAATGATTTAATGAGTGCTTACTATTATAGACAACTTATTAGGTGTTGAGCTAAGACTCAATCTAGAATGTGAGAGGAGAGCTTGCTATACAAATTTGCTTTCATTTTATTTTTAAGAGGCAGTATCAAAGACCATTTATCAACTAGCTGCCTTACTTCAGCAGTCCTGTGGAGTTCTGCTGTTGTATCACAGAGCCCTCTAGTGGTCACAACACTAATTTCATCATGAATGCAAACTAAAATAGTAAATATTGAAATATTGAAAGTTTTTTTTTACCTCTGAATGAGCCTTTTCTTCAGCCTGTAAAACAATAAAAAGAAAGACTTTAACTACAAAAACTATTTTCAATTAATTCCACAAGTGTAAATGAATAAAATAATCATGATGTATTTTTTTATTATCTACTATGTGAAGAATGGAATGAAGTACATAAAGTTATTCAATTGAAATAGTACAAACAAGTTACTTTATAAATGTTTCCTAATATATAAACCATAAGGTATTTTTAAAATATAGGTCATTTGATCCATAGATATATAATATTCCTTCAAGCAAAAGATAGAATTGAAAGACTCTAAGATGTAAATCATAAGCAACATAAACCAAATAATTACAAAATTATACTCTAAAAAATATGGGTGTATGAAAACTTAAAATATTGATGTATCTTTCATACAGATTGTAGGAAACAGACTTCATAAAATTATAAAGATCTCCAGCCAAGGTTTAGATGTCAGAATTCTATTCTGTGATTTACGGATCACAAACAATGTCAAATAAAGCTGGGGTAACATACAGGCCTCTACTGATAACCACAGATAATTAACATTATTTACTGCTATTTTTTTATTTCTTTAGTGATTATTAATAATTTTAATTATCACAAGTCAGCAAAACGCTTAAACACTGAAAACACTGAAATATCCAGTGATAAAAGTGTCTGGCAAACATTTTTGGCTGTGTGGCTTATAGAAAGGAGGACTGCCATAGGAATTTGCAGGGTGTTTTTGACTTGACTTCCAGAAAACTCCTAGCTCTGTTTTTCTTCTTCATGCCTGGCTGCAAAGTGCCAGAAAATGAGTTATGTGCACATTACATTTGGGAAGCTCCCTTATTCTGGGAAAAGCTGAAGAATGCATAATCTTCTTGAATAGTACAAGTCTGCTTATTGCCATAAGCAGATCCAAAGCTGAAAAACAATCTCTTATCTTCTATATCTACTTCTGGGATAGTTCTAGATTAATTGATACAAAACTACTTGAACTATTTTTTATTGCTTTTCTTTCAGAAAACTTAAAGCAAAGTAGTTTAACCACCAGGATATATTTTATTTGCCAGCAACTCTTTTAACCTGAGCTTTGTCTTTCCTATATTTTTTCTACCTTTAAAAATATGTAAACTTAGTAATATAGTGGCTAAATAATAAAGTGGCTAAGTGGTAGAATCCTAATAACTTTTATAAGAAAACAGCTTTAAAAAGCAATCTTGAATATTTAACATTTCAATTTTAGATTTTTAAGGAAATATTTTTTAGATCCTCATAATTTTAAGGTTTTATACACAGTTTGGTTTTTGAATAAAAAGTAAGCAAGGAATATTAAAAGTTTCATTGCCTTAAAACATATGGCACAATTAACTTTGTAACTATATCTATTAGTTTTTCCTAGTACTTTGTTTTTGTTGTTGTTGTTGTTTTTCTTTTTCTTTTCTTTTTTTTTGAGACGGGATCTTGATCTATCACTCAGGTGCACTGGCGCATTCATGACTCGCTACAGCCCACTATGCCCGGCCTACTTTTTATATTTTTTGCCAGTTTATTCTGCCCAATCCTGCTTCTAGGCTTCCTAGAATTATAGAAAGCCGGTAAAGTTTCAAGAATCAATAAATCATTCCTGTATTTTTTAATATTAATTTATTATTTTAAAAAATAATCAAGAAATATATGCATCACATTTAAAAAAATCTGTAATAGTTCTGTTACATATACTAGTAGCAAGCATAATCATTAAATATCAATTCTATACATACCATATAGCATGACTTTTCTCGCTACCAATTTTTCAAAACTATTATTTGCTTTAACCTTTGCCTTCTTTTATACTCTATGGTTATTAATACCAGGTAGGTGTTATGATAAAAATAAAGCAATGAGCCAGAATATTAGTATTATATTTTTTCCAGTAGCTTAGGTGTGGGATTAATGATGTCATAATGGAATTGGATTATTTGCCAGTTTTTTTACAATGGTTTTGAGCAAACCCAGTGTTCTGGAGATGATACAAAATATGAAACACTTGACTGAATAAAAGCATATCCATGAACTCTTTATTCTGTAAGCCAGTAAGTGACCATTTATCCATTCAAATTTGTTAATTAAAAAGTTATGACTTTAGTACTAGCTATTTGTTAGGCAACATGTTAAAGAATCCACAATGAGTCAAAAATGGCATTTGCTCTCATGAAAAAATACAAATCAGAATTCAAATTCAAAACAGGTTAAACAAAGTTTTTAATATACAGTTAATCAAAAAAACATCTATTGCAAGGATCAAAACTTTAAATGCCTAACAGGACAAGGCTTATAAAGAATAAAAGGACTTGAAATTTTTAAAAAGTCACATGACCTTTCCTTGGCTGTCTTTCATTTCCCCATTTGACAACGATATAGATAGCAAGGGGTATTTCTTTCTCATGAGGAAAACAACAGCACAGTGAAAATCAGCCACCCATATTTAGCTTCAGTGTCAGGAAGAAAAGCACTGGTGGAGGCTGTGGCTTCCTGAGAACCCACACTAACATCTAAAGGGGTCAATTACAGGTGACTGAAAACCCAGAGGAATTTCATCTTAGTATTGATAGATATTCCATAGATATTCCAATTATTTTAAAAAGAAATTTAAAATTTTGAATGTTTGGGTAAAAACTCCATATTTCACAATACTTCACAGTGTTGGCTTTGATTCCCTCTCCCTGCTCTCCCTCCTTTCCCCTTTCCCTTCCCCCCCCCCGCCCCCCTCCACAGACGGTGTTTGGCTCTGCAGTGAGTGCAGTGGCCCTCACTGCAGCAGCCTTAGCCTCCCAGGTTCAGGCAATTCTCCTGCCTCAGCCTCCCAAGCAGCTGGGATTACAGACGTATGCCACCATGCCGGGGTAATTTCTGTATTTTTAGTAGAGATGGGGTTTTGCCATGTTGGCCAGACTGGTCTCAAATTCCTGACCTCAAGTGATTCACCCCCCTCAGCCTCCCAAAGTGTTGAGATTACAGGCATGAGCCACCGCGCCTGGTCTTAGATTTCAAAACAAAGACACAAACCATAAGTTTGCCAAAGGTAACACCTCTGCAGATCAGGTTAGGCTTGTGATTTCCAACCAGTTTGCAGACATCCTGAGACAAATGGGACAGATCTAGCTAATATTTTCAAATTTTATTTTATAGGTGTAGTCCAAAGAAATTTGGCAACTTGCCTGATGTCATCCAATAATTACCTGATTGATCCAGGCAAGAATGCAAAGCAACTAAATCTCTATCCAGAGTTATTAAGAAGGCATGAAAAATAATAATAAGTTGCTTTTTCATTTGATAGTTTAAAAAGCATTTTCATAGGTATTTTCTCATTGCCAATTAAATCCTAGTTCCTGATCACAGAGGACCGGGGAAAGAATGACTCCTCATCTTTTATGATGTTTCTCTTTAGTAGTTCCCCAAATATGCACTTATTTGAATTATTTTACTACAGTTTACTTGTCAATTCAAATATATCATTTTCATCATCTCAAATACAACTCTTTTAATTTTCTAATAATATCACCTTCTCATGCGGCTCGATCACTTAATCCATTCTTTACTCACTTAACACTATCTATCCTACCTCCATATATTGGCCTATAAACATATATATACACACACACACACATTTATAGATATATCTATATATATACACATACATATACATATATACATATTCTATTTTAATCTCTGTTTCCATTTCATATTCTACTGTTAATACAGTATTTCTCATGTATGCTTTCTAATTATCCTCATTATTTTGACATCCCACTCCTATCTACAAATGTACCCCTTGGGTTCTCTATAAACTTGCACTATCCAATCTAGCAGCTGCTAGGCACATGTGGCTATTTAAATTTAAATTAACTAAAATAAGAAAGTCAACTCATCTGTATGCCAGATACACTTCAAATAATCAATAGCAATATATGGCTAATAGTTACTATATTAGATAGTGTAGATATAGAACACTTTTATTAACACAGAAAGGTCTACTGGACACTGGGAGACTAGTAATCTGTTTTTCCTTAAACTTATGAACCTTTTCTTGAAGAATACATTTTTCATAAAACAACTTCAATACTGGGATACACGATACTTGTATATATTTATGGGGTGCATGTGGTATTACACAAACATATGACGTATAATGATCAAATCTGGGTAAGTGGAATATCTCATTCTTCATTTAAGAAGAATATCATTTCTTCCTGTTAGGAACATTCCAAATCTTCTTTTCTGGCTATTTTGAAATATACAATAAATTATTGTTAAGTATAGTCACTCTATTGTGCTACCAATCACTAGACCTTATTTCTTCTAATGGTATTTTTCTTTTTTTTTTTTTTTTTTTTTTTTTTTTTAGTTTTTCTTAGGTTTCATAAAGGTAGTTTTATCCAAATATTAATTATTGTACATATTTAGACTAAAATGATAATGATGCTACATCTTTTGATGTTACACATAGATTTAAATGGCAATGGTTTAAATCAGAATACAATTCCCCAACAAACGGCAGTGCTGGCCCAACAGGAGGAACACTAAGTCTTAATATATTTCTTTTATGTGTTTTTTTCATGCATGTTTATACATTCCTCACTTTATCCATTTGCATAAAAAGTACATTTACCTAAACACTAATAGTGATGTCTTAATTTCTGGAAGCTACGGGCAATTTTAATCATTGAAAGGAGAAATAAGAAAAATATTACCTCTGCCAATAACAGTCTGATTTTGAATGACTATGTAAGGCAGTAAATATATGAGATTAACCTATAAACAGAAGGTTCAAACAAACATTTGAACTTAATGAAAATGAGTGAAAAACTTATTGCCCATGATGCTCTGTTAATCAGTGACAGCAGAGGCTATGAACTTTTCATGAACCTTACAATAGAGGATTAAGGCTTATTCATAGTACTCAAGTCTCATTGAGATTCAGTAGGCTGCTTTTAAATATACCTCACTGTTAACCTAGCTCTAAAATGACTCACTCATAAAGCATAACTTCCTGTAGGCTACTTTTTAAAAAGGATAGAATTGTATTTAACAAACAGAAAAACTCTCTACAATTTCACACATTTGCAAGAGAACTTGAAACACTGTTTTTTTTTCTTAATAAATAAAGTTTCTGCCCAAGTGTGCTGGCTTACACCTGCAATCCCAGTACTTGGGGAGGCCAAAGCGGGAGGAATTGCTTGAGGTCATGGGCATTGATCAGCCTGGGCAACATAGCAATGACCTTGTCTCTACAACAATTTAAAAATTAGCTGGGCATGGTGGTGCGTGCCTGTAGTCCTAGCTACTTGATAGGCTGAGGCAGAAGGATTACTTGAATCCAGGAGTTCAAGGCTGCATTAAGCTATGATTGTGTCATTGTACTCCAGCCTGGGTGACAAAGCAAGACCTTGACTCCAAAAATAAATAAATAAATAAATAAAAATAAAAGTTTAAAAAATCACACTCTTTCAAAAATCGTATTTAAAAAAACATCTCTGGTTCTTTTATGTTTTTACCCTTTATCCTTAATGCTTTTACCCTTCAATAATCCTCTCAACAATAAACTTAAAAATAAAAAATGAGGAGAAAATACCATAGAACAATTAACAGTCATGGCTCAGAGAACAAAACATGGACAACTTGTCATTACTAAAATGACAGTATAGCAGACTACATGGTTTCAGAGACTCCAAGTTATACCTCAATAAGTTTTATGAAATTGAATTCTACATCCACTCATTGATTATAATGAGTGAAAAAAAGCCCAGTGAAAGCACATGTAAGTGACCAAAAAATGGCTGGTGGAGCACCTGGCACATTCCTGGGTATTGGGCAGCTTAGAGTATGCCCTTATTTCACTACACAACTCCTGTGTACAAGTCATAGATGAATGTGATCTATTCACGGTAACATGATCTATTTCATCCTTTGTGTGCATGGCAAAAGCACAAGGTTTTTCTTAACAGCCATTACTTACTGTAGAGTAAAGAGAAGAAGTGCTGGACACCAGTGATAATGAAGAGCCATGAACTGGAGAAAACAAAGAGAACAACAGAGTTAAAATAACGAGGTCTACTCAAAAACCCCAGCCTTTACAGAAAAAGTAAAGAACGGGTGGTTAGGGAAATTAAGTAATAACAACTGGCTATAAGATTCTGAGAACCAGCCTGCTATAAATTTTTGGCAATCAGGACATTGAGACATGGAAGAGCCCCATTCATACTCCCTATAAGTATCTCAGTTGCCAAGTTATTTGACAGAAGTCTACAAGCATGAGCCCTACCAGCCTGTTTCGTACATATTGAAAGCTACGGTAAATTCCCGTATAATAAATAGAATAGCATGGAAACCCAAACTAAAGTTGCCATAAACTTTTAAACTTTAAAAAGTATATGTACTTTATTTATTTCATTTGTATCCAACAAAGGTCCATTTTCAGATTTTTTTCCCCATATAATTTCAGGGAAAGAAGTACTTTTATCTAATGTGTTATTACAACATTATTGATGCATTAATCATACTCTTATAAATGTGGAATTACTGTTCCTTTACTAATTTTAGTAAGAGAAAAATACTTTTTTTTTCAAGGTGGTGTCTCAGATAAATTGAGAACGGAAATGTCACACTGGCTTTTATCTATTTCAAATATCATTATAAACATTGGACGTTCTGCTTTATACTTCTGTACTTCCAATGTACTAAACCCAAAAGGTGGATAAAATGGTGCTGAATAATATTTGCAGAAAAGTTTATCCTCTTTTTTACTATGGAGTAGCATGGTTATTTCTGCTCATTGTGTATTAAACAAACATTAGTTAAGCATGAACAATGTGACAAGCTGTTGCTAGATCCTGGAACTACAAAAATAAGTAAGATAAAATCCCAAAAGCTCAAAAAGAAGATATAATGTGAAAGATATTTACAATAGAGTACTACGAATGCTACTGAGATCAATATGGTGAGTACCACAAGGACATATGGGAGGTGCTTAAGACCTGATCAGGAGAGGACTGGAATAGCTGCACTAGATTTGTGGCAACATGGATGAAAACAAGGGGATGGAATTGGAGGATACCAGGAAGAACCTTTTTAAAAACTGAGTATATAGATGTGGAATAAAGAACAACCCCCAGTTTTCTAACTTGGGCAAAGCTACTACTCTATGTGATGTGCAAAATGTTGGTATTTGAGTCAATTATTAAAAAAAAAAATTCTTTCAATCTCTAATAATACCCTTATAAGCTAAAGTGTTACCCTGATGTACCAGAAAAAAGGTGAACAATTAATCAGGTGATCTCATTCTCATTCTTTTTGTTTATGATCTTAGAACATGTGGCTCAGTCTCTTCATCTGTCAGTGTGAGCATTAGGTAGGATATCAATAAAGTCCCTTCAATCTAGTTCAATAAGTCTTGAATCTAGATCACCATTTAAGAACTAGAATAGGTCAGTATTCAATGCATGAGCACAAAAAGAGCCATCTTGCCCACTTACGCTAGCTTTCAGAAATTCAGATTATTTAATCCTCATATATTGAAGGCCAGAATTTCCCAGTATATAAAAATCACTTTATTTGTAAATGCTGCACTCTAGAAAGCCATCTGTATGCTTACCAAATTATTTTAAAAGTATTATAAGAAGCCTATCTGTGACGAGAGCAACAGAACCATTTCAGAAAGCAGTGTCCTTACATTTGAGAATAGTTATGTGTTGTCTGTCTACATGGCAACAATCAGTGGAGTCATTGGATATAATTCACTGTCTGTCACAGTGAACTTAGTGGTTTGGTTAATATTGCAAAAGGCAATGACAACTCTTCTCTACTGATTTAGTGCCAGTATATTAAATCCATAGTGGTGACCTGAAAAATATGAGCCAATTTTCACTGCTGCCTAACCCCTCAGTCAGAAGATATTTTAAATAAGAATGTAGGAAGGGAAAAGATAATGGAATAGAATTGTTCTTTATTCTCACATTTCATCCTTGTGACAAACCTATGAAGTTACAGATGCAGAACTTAGGGCTAAGAAAGTTAAGAAACTTGCCTAAGTTTACACCACAAACAAATGGATGGCAAAAGGATTAAACTCTGGTATATCTCAAGATTTGGAGACCTTTCTTTTAAACATAATTATTAAGGTTAATAATTTCATTCTAATCAATTTGCATTTTATGTCTAGTTTTGTTTTATCCTTAGCTGAAATGTTTTATAATATGTATGCTGTAAGTTTTCTTTATGGATACTAAAAAAAAATTCACTAAATCAAAGAGAAAAGTCTCTCAAATTATTGTTAAATTTGACATTTGAGCTTCTAAAGTTTAGAAAAATATTTATATTTGAGCTCAACTCAGCTTTCTGAGGTTTTCAAGCTGATTTATTTAGAGTATTTACATAAAACTATATAACTATAAAGATATTTAACAGGTTAGGTGACAATTTTATTGCCATTGGATGAAGAAATAATGACTTATAAGCAAAAAAGTAGGTACAATATGAATTCTAAAATGATATAACAAAAAATTAGCACCAGAGGGAATTTCTGGGAATGTAAATCATCAACATGTGGTATTTTCATAAAATAATGTTTCTGGTTTGCATGTCTTTATGGCTCTTTAACCGAAATGTCAAACAAAACATTTGCTTTGATATTTGATGCACCTGGGAAAACAGTTTCTATGTATATTTCTGTATTGGAAAAGTAGATTTAGTCTAAACTCTTCTACAGCCAAGTATTAATCTAAACAAATTCTGCCATATTTCCAAATGCATAAAGCAATAGAAGATAACACAGAATAAAACTTCTTCAAGCTTCTAGTTTCCCAAATGATAATTACACTAATTTATTTTCCTCTTCAGAAATCTTTGTGATGTGAGTGATGCAATGGTTTCCCTCTCAGGGTTTAAATAAAGTGACTTCATCTTTATTCCCCCCCAACACTTACCCTCTTCCATGCTGTCTCTGAATGAGCCTGAATGACTGATGGCACGAGGTCTTTCCTCCAGAGAAGTGGCACTCCCACAAAGCTGGGAGTCATCATAGAGATCGAAGGAAGAGTCTTGGGCTGGGATGCTGTTTGAGCGCATCATGCTGGGCCCAGGAAGGTTAAATTGAGACAAATTTGTTGGGCTCACTGAAAAACAAAGCACACAGAGCCTATTACTCTGAAGCTTGAAAGATGAAAATAGCAGGTTGATAGAAAGTAAGAACATGATCCCAATTCTTATGAAAACATGAATGTATAGTGAGTCCCTACTTAAGGTAAGAGTCTGCCTCTGAAATATCCAATAACAGATCCCACTGAGTCCCTCTTTTCCTCTGGCACTTTCATGGCAAGCCTTATGTCAATTTCTAAAGCAATAGTACACAAAACCAACAAGTCTCATGATTAGGATCATCATTATTATCAAAGTTAGGTTATAAGGAGATAGCATGTAATAAACATTTTTATAACTAAACACAATGTAACATACATGGTATCTGTAGCTCACCATAAGGTTAATTATATGAAAAGATTTTCTACTCTGTTTAAGATGAGCATGTCACGATGAGATGGTCAAAAGTCGCAAACATGTTATATTTCCAAAGAAGTATCTTAAGTCTGTAATTTTTAATAAGAATTTATTTTTTTATTTTTATTTTTTTTTTTGAGACAGAGTCTCGCTTTGTTGCCCAGGCTGGAGTGCAGTGGCGCAATCTCGCTCACCGCAAGCTCCGCCTCCCGGGTTCACGCCATTCTCCTGCCTCAGCCTCCGGAGTAGCTGGGACTACAGGCACCGGCCACCGCGCCCGGCTAGTTTTTTGTATCTTTAGTAGAGATGGGGTTTCACCGTGTTAGCCAAGATGGTCTGGATCTCCTGACCTCATGATCCGCCCACCTCGGCCTCCCGAAGTGCTGGGATTACAGGCGTGAGCCACCGAACCCGGCCAAGAATTTATTTTCTTATTGCTTATTGCCAAATAGTCCTCATCTGGTAGTCATCAATTTAAGGAAATATTTGGTTGATTGTATGTATAACTGCATTGGAAAACCATACCGTTGTAAAATTTGGAATAAAAGCAAAGCAGAAAAATTGAGAAAGACATTCTAAATGTTTATATTTAAGAAAAGCAAGTTTGTTACTGGTATATGAGAAAGCAGGCAGGAGCCTCTTAAGATATAAAGGGAACTACTGAGTATTTCCAAAACTTTGGGGAATCTGTCTGTGGCTTCCAGTTGTTCTGACATCACTTCAAAATTTACTAAGTTTTTTTCTTTGACACAGGCACTAAACTTCTTCTTCATACAAGTACTGGCTCTCTAAACAATGTAAAACATGAAAAGTATACCCAGAGGTTACTGGAGATAAGTATCTCGTATTTGGAAGGCGCTGTGCTTGATAATTCTGATATTAACTGAATTAACCCACAGAACAACCCTCTGAGAGCCAGTTACTGACTGGAGTAAAAGGAAGCATAGGACTAAGAATCACATATTTAAAATGTAATGGAAAAGGAAAAAAATACGAATCTGCAAAGTGCACAATCTATTGGAAAAAAAAGAAGAAAGGATGGAAAGAAGAAAAAAGTAAAAAAGGGAGAGGGAGAGGATCTGCCTATTTTTCAAGAACATTCCTTCAGCCTGCAGTGACCATTAGTACCATTTCGGTCTGATTAGTGACAACAGCCAGTAGGTACACTGTAGGACATTCAAGACTTAAAATGTTTATGTTTAAGGTGGCAAGATTGCGGTAAGTCACCCTATTCTTGGCTCACAGTATGAATGTACTCTTGTTTAAATTAATGAAGTATTAAACAAATTTGCAAGGGCATCATTTTAGTATACATATCTATAGGGTTAGAAGTATATTTTATTTGCTTTTTGGCTTTGTATAATTCTTACCTAAATGATTGCAGAGATGTCCAAGTGAAGTGTACTTCTACAATTTCAATACATAATACTTAGCTCTATCAAGATGAAACATTAATGAGGATTAGGATAGATTTTAAAGGGAATAGTTTGCATTTATGAACACTTTTGATAGGTTCTCCATCAGAAATTACACCCAACTGCTTAAGAGTGTTCAATTAAGTTCATAACTATGACAGATCTGGTTTTAGATGTTGTAGTTGAATAGAAGGAAAAATATGACACAGTCTCTGATTTCAAGAGTAGCCACTAGGGCAGATGTCTGAAGAAGGAGAAAAGTCAATATGTAAAATAGAACAAGAGAAACTATACAATAGAAAACAAATGTAACACAGACAAAGATAACTTTTCGAATGGAACACAAATTGGTAAAGATCTTCTAGTGGTAGTTTTGCTTTCCATCTGCTTTGGGCAAATAACCCAATCACTACCCTTCAATTATTTTATGAATAAACAATGGAAGAATAAAAAGCCTGTAAGATCCATTCAAAGCCAAGAGGCACACAAGAATTTCTAAATAGAAGAGAAACAGATGTGGCAATGTATCAGGAAAAAGAGGGCTACCAACTTTGTCTCAAATTGCATTTGCATAGCCAAGCCACTAATCTTTTGTTAAGATTATATATTTATTTGTAGTAACTTGAGGAAAACAGCATCTGATATCAATGTGGACTGGGTTTTTATGATATTATTAAATACTATTATTTTGAGACAGGGTCTCACTCTGTCTCCCAGGCTGGAGTATGCAGTGCCACGATCATAGTTCACTGTAGCCTCTAACTCCTGGACACGGGATCCTCTTGCCCCAGTGTCCTGAGTGCTGCTGGTATTACAGGCATGATCCAATGTGTCTGGCTGGACTGGGTTTTTAAATAACCCCAAGTTACTCGCTACCTTTGCATCTACAGCTAGACATTAACTAGTGAGTTTATTATACTGTTTTAGACATGAAGAGCTGTCTTATGCAATCTAACTTTGACTTATTTTGTAGAATCTGGATATATATAATTAGGAACAATAGGTGAAGATTCAGGAAAATTTTATTTGATCTCTTAAAGAAAGAATTCCAGAAGTGTTATTTCTAGATTTTAGTAGTTTCTGTCATTGGCGGGTTTAAAGAAGAAGTTAGAGATGTCATAAAATTTTACATAAGAGATGAAGGGTTGAACCAGATGTGGTCTCTTCTGACTGTGAGATTCTATGCTTCCAAAAGAATAGAAGACAGGAGTTTATTCTGAGAAAGTTGAAGGGTGAGCACGAAGATGGGAAAGGATTCAAGGTAGAGGAAGATTTGAGTACCAAAGCATAGAAACTATTCCTATGCAAAGGTGTTTAACAATCACTGTATGCAAAAGGATCCATCTAATTTAGAGAATATTAGATGGATATTAGAAGTGACAGGTTGACATTAATGTTCCTGCATGTAACCTTTGTGGCAAGGTGAAAAATGAATCTGAGAAATTGTTATCACTCATGGAGGCATGACAATGAGTCTCACCAGGTTATGACATGGCTCATGAGAACTATGACCTCTTCTGTTTCTCTTCTATTTAGAAATTCTTGTGTATCCTGGCTTTGAATGGATCTTAGAGGCCTCTTAGTCTTTCATTTTTTATTCATAAAAAAACTGAAGGGTAGTGGTTGGGTTATTTGACCAAATGAAGTTTCATCCAAAAACTTTTTGATTTATATAAGTTATATTTTGTTATTCTTTCTTGAATGGGAATGGTTTCTACTAGGGCTAGCACACTGGGAATGACACACAAACGATAGTTTACTGTGGGAGTAGCTCACAGTAGTCTACTAAATACGACATATTGTAATGATCTTAATTTTCTACTATATGTTGTGATTTTTTACAGTAATATTTTAAAAATTTTATATATTAACACATTTTAATTGGTAGAAAGAATAAAGAAAACATGAATACTGCAACTTTTGAACAGTAATAATAATCCTGTATCTTACTGATTATTCAGAAAAGATAATGGTCAAATGAAAAATGCGTGATGTTAAAAGACAGCAAGAGGACATATTCAAGGTAATTACATATGTATAAAATTTAATAATAAAGTAACTTTAATTTATGATTGCATTTTAAGAATACTCATTTTCTTGCCCAATAAAGAGGTTCACGTGAACTATAAATACAGTAAAAACTCTTTAAATATTACATTTTTGAAATTAGTCATTTTTTCCACTCTGAAACAATACAGCATAAAGGTCTCAAAATGCCTCATTTGAAGTCATATGTGCTTCTAAGATCTGGGGAGGTACATGAGAGTGTGTTGACATGGATAGGAATATCTTCTTTTCTACCTCCCAAAGGGTGAAAATGTTGAGACATAAGGGAGTCAACAGAGTAAGATCAATTTCAAATCTGCAATTGTCTACATTTAAAAAAGCTTCAGCAAGGACAATGTCCCTGAAAATGAGAGACAGATGTAGGAGATATTCCGAATATAAAATCACAGTATCCTATCTACTGAAAATGTACAATATGAAGAGCACAGTTTCAAGTAAGACTATTGATTACACAGATTTTGCACTAGAGTAGAGAGAAGGATGATACGTGAAATTATAAGACAAATAGAAGAAAAGAACTCAAGAAAAGACTGATATGAGGTGGCTATATGGTCTAGCACACTGATGGGATTTTAGTTTTAGAACTGAAAAAGGTCTCAGACAGAAAGTGAAATGTTGATTTGAGAGATCAGAATTAAAGTTGTGAATGAGAACACAGAAAAAGGATTTAGGATAAAAAAAAGTCTAAAGGAAAAACAACTTGGTAAACACATAAATATCAGGAGAAGAGGGAAGATGAATTGCATTGCCCAAGGTTTGCACCTAATACCTGGACCAATTATTAATATAGTCCCATTCACTCTCAAAAGTGACCTTGTGTCTACAACAAATGATACAGCTTTGTTAAGATAAGCAACCCCAGGAGAAAGAATGGTAGTTGGAAAAGTATGAAGAGAATCAAGAGGGCAGTGTCACTTAAGTCATGGCCTGTCTGATACAGTTGAGATATCTCTGATATAAACCACAATAGATTAAGAGGGGAAACCCACATCCTAGAAATGTAAACTTAACCTTTCAGACTGGGTTTCTATAGCAATGAAATGTAAGGGATGTATTTGATCAGTGGTTTTCTAATTCATCAGAACATTAAAGCTCTACAGAGAGCTTTGTTATCAGTAAAAGTATAATTCACATTTCACTTATTCATTGTGTTTTAACTGTGAAAACTACGTAATAAAATACATTCCCAAGTGTGCTATAGAATAATTCATTTTTTAACACATTGTGACCATGGACATGTTGGCTTCAGTTGCCATGTTAACTTTAATTTATGCAAATCTTAGAATAAACTTATCTTTGCACAAATATTTGACATTTGTGGTAAATGAGTCCTTGATAGAAATCTCATAGTTTTGTGCTAGTCTTTTAAAAATACAATCTGTGAATGTCTTTCACAAAATCCTGTGGTTACTGTCTTGTGAATTACTACTCAATTAAATGTAGACAAAACTCAGGCATATCTGATGAATGCTACTCTATGATAGTGTGAAACATGCTTTCCAATAAAACTAATGATTTGGCAGAATCTATCAAGTCTTACACATGTCTCCATCTTTATATACACTATATCCATCATTCTTTACAATATGACCTACGTACTATGTATCCATTCAAGAGATAACAAAATTAGTTTAAATGACTTCACCAATGTCAGACATAGTAAGTGGTGAGTCTTTTTGTTCCTAAAGAATAATGAAGGTGGATCTAATCAGAATAATAATGGTGAGGAAAAATAGAATAAGGAGTCAACTAATCAAATTAATGTCAATTAATGAAAAGAATTGATAGGAGACATGAATTACTTAGCAAGCTTATAGCATTTTAGGTGATTTGGGTGTGTTTTAGATGTTGTATGAAACTATTTTGTCTCATATTCCTATGACCTACACAAACATTTTAAATTCATTTTTTGAAGTTAAGGCGTTAGGCTTTTTACTTTTTAAAAAAATCAGCTGCAACTTAAAGTAAATAAAATCTATACATTCTTTGGCATTATAGGCAAAGACTCATCACTATTATATTGTTAGGAAACAAAAGCTTGGTGTTTGATATGAAATCATTAGCTTATATGAAACCATGACCAAAATAATTGTTTTCAATTGCTAAAAGCCCTACTCAGTACAGTGGGAAGGGTTGCAATAGAAAAAACAAAGCCTTGAGTCTTGTCCTGGTTGAAAGCTGGAAAGTCCAACTTATTGAAAAATGTGAATCTTCTATAGGTACATGATTAGAATTTTTTTTTCCAGTGAAAAGAGAAAAAGTAACGAGGCCCTTGGAACCCTCGGGGGCCAGGAGGGTTTGGGCCTGTAGTGTCTGGGCTTCAGGCTTGGGAGAAGGGAAGAAGAAGGAGACACTTGAGGACCCAAGGTGCTTCTCTGTGGGGATGTGGTCCACGGGTGCAGGAGCCCTTGGAGGCTGCTGCCTTGGCACTGCTGCTGGTCAAGAGAGATGTATTTTTGTCTAAGCCCTGGAAAGAGGTGCTGGAGTACCTGGAGAATATAGACCTGAAAACACTAGAGAAGTAACCAATGACTTTCAAAGCAAAGGAGCTATGGCAGGGAACAATGGAGTTGTGATTGTGGCTGTGCCAGGCTGTTTTCTCTGGCAAGAGGGGGCTGCAGACCTGTCATCCCTCAACCCAAGGTGGACGATCTGGGTGTCCCCCTCTATGCAGTTGTTAATTAGCAGATCAGGACTGACATAAAGTTTTTCCAAACTTGTTTCAAAAGAGAAATCCTCCTGGATGATAATAAAAAGTTCTATGGTCTACAAAGACAGAAAAGATGATGTTTATGGGATTTAGCCCTCTGGGAATGTGGCTTCCAGCCTGGAATCGAGGCTTCCCTGGAAACCTGGAAACCCAAGGCTTCATCCTCAGGGGAGTTTTTGTGGTGGGATCAGGAAAGCAGGGAATTCCCAAGCATGGAGAAAAAGAATATGGAGACAAAGTAAACTCACTTTCTGTTCTGGAAGCTGCTAGGAAGATCAAACCAGAGACTTTGGCCTCAGAGAAAAAATGATTGCATGAAACTGCCCAACTCAGAGAAACTATGGGCATTCATTCACCTGTGTTCATGGAATGTGTTGTCCCTACTTGTGTCCCTAAGGAGTTAGAAACCTGCATTTATCTTATTCTCAGTATGACTTATTAACATATTTTAATATTATACTCTGTTTAGGCCCAGTAAGGCAAAATAGTCCCAAAACAACATTGGCAAAAAGCTAAGAAAGCAGTGAAGGTTATTCAGCTGAAACCTGGAAAATACAAGGCTCAAAATTGACTGTTGTGCCTTATTACAAATGTATATGGTGTTTGAGTTCTGTTATTTGAAATTATGTTCATTTTCATGTCTTCAAAAATCTAACAAAACTTGATGATTGACTTGAAAGTTAGAGAATATAAGGTTTTGGCTTGTGTGTTTTCTATTACTAATTTTTTATATAATGTCAAAGTAGTACTTTCATGATGGAATTGATGTACTCTGGGATAGTTTGACAAAGGTAAATTATAAAGTGAAATTTCTTGTTTCATTGTCCTCTGTCCTAAATTCAGAGATGTGTTTCTCTAGAAGGAATGATGATCTCTGGCTTTAATAAGATTATGCATCAAAACTCATCTTTAAGCACAAGTTTTTCTGATAAACGAATGATAAAAATATTTACCATAAAAATAATGAGAACACTTTATATGTGACTTTATAGAAGATAAACTGATTTTTAAAGTCATTGAATCTATTAAATGGTATCTGGCATATTCAGCTTTCTTTAATTATTTTGTTACTCAGAGTGTTTTTAATGACATTTTATGCATATTATTTTATACTTCATACAAATGATGCTAAATACAAAGTAACCCAATGACTACATTAGTAATTTATTTTTCATTGTATCTATCTGAAAACGTTCAGAGTATTGTCTTAACAGAAAGTCTTGTATGCATTTTAAGGAATTTTAATTTTAACAATGTTAAAAGAAGTTAACTTGGAGTCATGGAATTACATATCTTTTTCTTCCTAATTGTTTCTATTTTCTACAAAAGACTACTAATTTGTTTTAAGGATGTTTTAATATTTCAAGCAAATAAATAAGGAGATGCTTTCCTGTTTTTTAAGAGGATTCTAAAATGGAATGGAAAGGTCCCTGGGCTTAAAGTCAGATGTTCTGGAACTGATTACTGCCTTGAACCCTTAGTAATGGTAAGACTTTTTCAAGTCAAGTGACCTTTCTGAGCCCTGAGCCTAGACTAGAAAACAACCACAGTATGAACCTATGTTAAGCATTTGTCATGAGCAATAAACAGTATGTTTGGAGATTATTCTGTGAAAAGTAAACAATGACACAAATGAAAGGTACTGTTAAAGTGCCTTTATCCCTCCCTTTAAATGAAAACATGTTGTATTAGGGAGAGATTCCAGGGTTTCCGTGAGAGTGGGTGGTGAAAGAAAGAAAACAAAATCAATATTTTAGAATATTTTACCCAAGTTAGAAAAGTGGTATTTTCCAGCTGCAGAAGATGACATGGCAGAAGGCGAAACCAGAGGTGACTGGTTGCCAGTGTCCTGAAGCCCTCCAGTAGAATGAGAACGCAACCACTCTTTGCCCTCTTCTTGGTTGGCCTGCCGAGATGATGGGGTATATCTGCAAAACAGCACAGCTATGACACTTAAGCACATCTACAAGGGCAAGGCAATGCCAAGACAGGAAAACAATTGAGAGGAGGTTACTATTCAGAATGAACAACAATTTCAAACAGATTGAATCTAATTATAATTGCTCAGTTCTTCCAGATGATCTTACACCATCTGTTTGAATCACATAGGAGAAAAATAAAATAAAGGGATTTGAGGAGAAAATTATGCTTCTATCAGATATGCGGTTGGAAATCATAAGCAATGAGCAGACAGCCAAGTTAATTGAGAACTCAAAAGCACAGGGCTAGAAAGGATGTAAAGAGGGTGAAAACATGGACTACAAATGGAGGACACTGATGGGCCAGGGCCAAGAGAAATGAAGTGATGGTCACAGAAGGCACAGGGAAATGGAATACATATTGTCAGCTTTTTTGTTGTTGTTTTGTTTTTGTTTAAGGAAAAACAGTTCTTTTGTTAAAATGCCACTTGACATCATGCCTAGATTACAAAAATAGGGAGGGAGATGTGCTCGCTTTACTGGATAATAAATTTCTGGAACAAAATATTAAAATGGAATAATTGCCAGCTATTTGCTATTGCTGAATAATTGGAGAGAAAAAATAATAATGGAGAAAGACCTAGTTTCACCATTATTCACTGTTTCACCAAACTAAGTATATTTTCTTTTTGTAAGTAAATTCTTAGCACCAAAGTAGCCAACTTTTCATATGCATACAGTGTTATACCTCTATTAGTAGTTCATTCTATATTCCTTCCTCAGATAAAAGTACACAGTAAAAGATGGCCATAAGTTAAATTTTTATTTTACTTTTTATTATGGATGGAATAATTATTTTAAGATTATTAAATGGTATTAGATTGATTCATATTTAAGTTGATCTCAGAGCAGCACCCCTGAAAAATAGAAATTAAAACAATTTTGAGATTTTATCAAACGGATTTTATAAAAATCATGCTTTAATTACAGTGTTTGTCCTGTGATGATGAAAATATGTTTTCTTTGATTCAGATTGTAGCATCCTTCAACCTTTAAACATTAACTACCCACATCTGTAGACTGTATGGGTTTTGAGGATTTGCAAGCATGTGCCTCCAATAGGCAAAAGTTAGAAGAGTTAATTTTATTTTAATTTGTTGAAGTGAGTTCTGCATTCTACCAAAAGTTGCTGCCCCAAAAAAGCAACGCCTGGGACAAGTTTTATTTTATTTTATTTTATTTTATTTTATTTTATTTTATTATTTTATTTTTTAGCATTATTTCTTCAAAATAGTGATATTCACATTGGAATTTATTTAATTTGAGTGACAGCCTCAACCTCTACTAGTATCTCTACCTGAGGGGCTATCTCAACAACTGTTTGGGCCAGAGAAACCATCAAAATTAAAAGTGATTTCATCCTCAATGTCATTGCTACACTGCAAACAAACAAAGAAGGAAGAGAGACAGCACACAAAGTTTACATAACAACAGAGAGAGGCAGCAATTGTGCTGAGAGAAATATATACCTTAGTCCCTTTTTGGGTAGTGTATTTCTGTCAAGCTGCATGCTGTTAAAACAAAGAAAATCCCTAAGGACATAATGTAAACAAAACTTCCAAATTACACATCCAACAAAAATGGTTCTCTGAACTACAAAAAATAAGTTTTTGGTAACACACATATAATGCTTAACTAATTGAAAAAGGCCAACTAAAGGTGACAAGATGTCCATTCTCATTACACATATTGAGTTCCTTTCTAAGGCAGTACCAGTCAATGATAGTTTACTGATAGGATTACTAGAAAATAGATTAAATCATGTTAGCATAATTTTCCTCTGAATTCTATTGATTAAATACTATCTTAGTTTTTCCTTTGCTATACAGCTGACTAGATTTTTGCTATGATATCACATGCAAAATAAGATAGACCTGCTCTGGCTAAGTTAGAGTGACAACTTCCAATGGACACAGATGGTATAAAACATCATTTAATACTTATATTTTGTCTTCAAATTATTTTTAATAAAAAGGCATGTTTATTTCCCATTTACACATGTGAAGAAAGATATATGAGTCTTTGCTTAAAACTTAATTGTCTCTAGTATCATTTATTTAAATATTTTAATGAAATTAAGCGATACCATCTTTTAGAAATCATAAATTAGGTATTTAAAAGGCTGTACATTTTATCATCTCTATTTTAAGGAATTCACAATTGGTAACAAGAAGGAATGAAAAGGTATGTCTAGAGAAAATGAGAAATGGCCTCTCTAAAAATACAGGAAGAGGATACCAACAACTAAGTGGGACAAGTCTAGGGATTTCTTTTATAATCTCTGGCATGTAGATAAGCAAAGTGTAAAATTAATTTAAAATGCAGAATTATAGCTTTCTTCCTTTATGACCTCGAATGATCAAGATTAAATACACAGGGTATGCATAATGGGGATGATATAAAATGAATGTAAAAAGACTGACTTGAAATTTAATCATTCAAACCAAAGCTAAAATGTTTTCTTCTACGTGTACTCCATTATTTATCACTGCAAACAAAAGCATCCAAAGGCTTTATACAACTTTACTTTACTGGTAATGTCCATGTAAGGTAATTGCTAATATTATGTAGAGGCCAGTTACAGTATACATGTTGACTACAGAAGTTTTCTTAGTATTGTGGATAAACAAACAAAAGAAATCATATTGAACAAATATGAGAAATCTCCAAATATGAACCACATGTGCTAAGACATTTATGTGGTCATAAGTCATTTTAAGGATTACCTCTTTCCATGTGTACAAGTTAAAGTTTAATGCCACAAAGAATATTAAAAGTTGGTATTCTTCTGACAAACTCATCCAGTTGTATAAAAATTATATATTTTATGATGAAGAGCAATTTAATGAAAAAAAATTAGAACAGATACATTTAAAGTTACCAAAATAACTTAAATCGTTATTTAGAAGTATGTTTGAATCTAGATATTAATGATTTTATAATGTAGACAATTTCTGCAAACCCCCAAAGGTTGCAAACTCATATGCCAGCAAGGGCCAGATAGGGCATGAAAATGAATGTGGTGGGGATTTTAGTCAACAGTCTGAAGCAGACAGTCACTGTCTGCCTAGAGCCAATAGTTTCTGGGCAGAAATGTCAAGGCAGCATTGCCAGATCTGACATTTAAAGACAAACCCGGAATTTGCAAAGTTGGTTACTACAAATTATGTTAAAAATTTAGTTGAGTCAGACACACGAAACAAAGCCCAAAACAAATATAGACCAGTTATGGCTCAATGGCCACCAATGACCTAGAGCAGCTGCAGAGAGAAAACTGTTAAAAAGTGTATTTTATTATTTTATTTAATTTAATGAAGAAGAATTTAAACAAAAATGAAAATCTATAGGAAAAGCTACCGATTTAAATATGAGTATCAAAGAAATCATCTAAAATTTGAGACAAACAGGTAAATCATGAACTTATATACATCTTTATTATAGATCGCTAATTAACTTGCCTTAAAATATTTACATTAATACATTTTCTCTAGGGTGTAGCTCTTTGGTTTTCTTAGCATTTCTGACATTCTACTGATTAATTAATCATAATGAAGCCAGTATCACCCCCTAGATCTACTTTTCTCTTCAATAGGTCATAAACTTTCTTAAATATACTTGAAAGGATTAGAGCAATTTGCTATTGCTTACAGTTCTGTTGTCAATAAAACAAAAAGCCCAGTGTCTTATATCAAAATTTATTTTAATCTAGTAATTTACTGTAAGGTGCTAATTAATATTAATATTATATACTATAGCTATGTAGTTAACATGTATTTTTTACAGCTTAATATTCATGAATGCATTTTATTAACGCTCAAAGGCCAAACATATTTATCCAAAATTAAAGTTTATTTCAGAAAAAGTGTTTATTTGGTTGTTTTAATGTTAGAATATTCCCATTTTAAAAATTGGCCTATTTCGGGCTGGGTACTGTGGCTCACACCTGTAATCCCAGCACTTTGGGAGGCCAAGTCGGGTACATCACTTGAAGTCATGAGTTCGAGACCAGCCTGGCCAACATGGTGAAACCTCATCTCTACAAAAAATACAAAAATTAGCCCAGCATAGTAGTCCGCTCCTATAATCCCAGCTACTCAGGCAGCTGAGGCATGAGAATTGCTTGAACTCGGGAAACAGAGAATGCAGTGAGCCGAGATGGCACCATTGCCCTCCAGCCTGGGCGACAGAGCAAGGCTCTATTTCAAAATAAATAAATAACATAACATAACATAGCATAAATCAAATTGGCCTACTTCAAAGATTGAATATGTACAATAAATAAATCTGCTTAAAAAGAAAAAGAAATTACATATTTTCTAGTGCATTTCTATAGTGAAAATCTTATTGACTTCAGTTAAAATATAGGTTAGAGTAAAACATGAAAACTGCATTTTGGTTATAGCTATGTAACTAACCAATCTTATCATCTAGTTTTGATTTGAGAGTTACTTGGTTATAAATAGTTACTTGACTGTATTTCTGAATCCGGGATTAATGTCTAAATGCTGAAGAAATAGGTTGATGGCTAAATGGCCAACTTGTTGCAGATTATCTTTATAATTAAAAAATAACCAGTATTGTGGAAGGTAGTTGTGGTCAATAAATGATAACCTATTTGCAGTATGCTTGGTTTGGTTATCAACTTGATATTTAGAATCCTTACATATGAGCATACAATCTAGGATACATTCATTACAACTATAGGTTGTTAATGTATTTTAATATAATTTATTCATTAGAAGCTTTATAAATGACATGTGAAGATGCCCATTTACCTTAGAAGTGCTGAAACTAGAATCAAAGATTTTATAGGAAGCCTGACTTTTTAGGTGGAAAAATGAACCCTTACTGGTTTTTACGTATGCTGTCTATAACAGCATATAACAGCAAAACCATAGGGAAGTGGTTACATTTTAGTTGCTGTCACTCAGCTGTTTGTCTTGGCTCAGTTTTTTTTCTTTATGAGGAAAAACGTATTTTGTAATCAGCAGCCCACCATAGCAAGCACGAATATTTTAGTTAGTGCTAAAATTATGTTATCATTGGAAAGCCCCATTTGCATGGCTGTCCCTGTCTCATTGTTAGGCACGTAGGAAGAGGGATAGAAGCAATGTTTTGCTCTGGGTTTTGTATTTTACAAAGTCAAGAGAAAATGGGGAATTTCAAATTGAGACATCCTAGATTAAGGGGAAACTAGTGTAATGCAGAGAGTGTCTAGTTAAGGGCTTTAATTGATGTTTCAAAATATCATTCTGGGAGTAAGGCTGAAGGTCTAGAAAACAAATGCCAATGTCAATATCAGACTTAAAAAATAAAAATAAAAAAAATAAAAAAAACAGGGGAAGATATAGAAAGATATATTAGGTATTTTCTGTGACCAGTATTTCTTTCCACATGTGGCCAAGACCATGTTTAAAGCTTTACTTGTGTCAAGAAACAAATAGCATTGCATTTATCAGGGAAAAAGAAGTGGTTTTAAGACATCTTCCTGGTGGTAAGAGTCAGTATCAGTATAACCAGGAAAGGATCACTTTGAGGAAAAAATTTAGAGTGATTTGCTCAAAAGGGATGCTTCACAATAAGCATATTAGGTAAGAAATGCCTTGTTATATCCTCCACTTTAAGTATATATATATATATCCAATGAGAAACACTTTGTAATATGATTACTTTTTAAGTGGTCTATTAAAAATGGCACTGGCACTATAATTTTCTCTAATAACTCATGTCTGACAATTGATTTTTTTTTTTAACCAGGTCAACTAGGATTTCCCAGCAATCCATCTGCTATTTTTTCATAGAAGTACAAATGGAACAAATTTAACATATTGCTCTGAGCATAACTGTAGAATAATTTCAATTTGGTCTTTGAAAATTCTTAAGTCATCATAAGGAGCTAGTGTTGTTCTGAAGCTTAAGCCAAATCATTAAAATGTCTTCAGGAGACCTCATTCAATATCTATATAGATGCCTTGAATTTTATTCACATTGCCTACTGGGTATAAATGTATGCATTCACATTAACAAAATTATCCACTCACTCTACCTTTAATGATTTTATTCCTCTGTAAATTTGGTAATAAGAGCAAATGAAAGGCCCAGTTGCATCAGTCTTACATCCTTTTGCACAGGGGCACTCACAGTGAAATCAAGGGAATTTAATGGGGTCGGGGGTAGGCATAGTGCAGGGAAGAGGGGGAGGATGTTATCAATGCCTCCAGGAAAGCTCACCTTTCTGAAAGAGTAGATCTCACACTACCCGTTCTCATGAGCAGGCTCTGGACCTCGTGAGTGCCTGTGGTCAGTCCAGACAAGGAGCCATGATGGCTGAGGGGGAGGTCAATGGACTCAGAGCTCGTGTGGAGGCTAGTCATGGACTGGTAGCTCGGAGTGTCCTTGCTGCCTGCAGAGGAACTGCTCATATTGGCAGCCCACACGAGACCACCTGATGTGAAAGAGTGAACCGATGCTGGGCTGGAGGCCAACGAGTGACTTAAGCTTATAACATCTGTAGTTAAGTCTGAGGGTTTATTGAAGAGAGGGCTGCTGCTGCCGCTTAGCCCACCAGCACTGCCCATGCTGCCCGTACCGGACGACGGTGACTCCAGACTGCCTTGCCGCGCTAATGTGGTACTAGGGCTGGGCATTACTGAGGAAGATTTCACACCCTCAGTATTAGGTGCAGAGGCAGATTTGCCACCTGCCTTGGCACCAAACAACCTAAAAGAAAAACAAATAACAACTTCAGTTGTTCCAAGAAGCTAATATCCACATTTAATATTTAGGGTTACAGTACACAGAGCCAAGTGTGCTTTGGTGTACTGAACTACAAAGCACTTCCTGTCTCTATGTTAATGAACTTTTATCAGCTTGGACTTCCTTATCAAGTGCGGACAATCTCTCATACAAGGGTAGGTCAGTACTGGACTGCTACTAGGGAAAGAGGGGGAAGTGGGTGGAACAAAAGTAAGTCAAACATGAAAACCCCTGGTTTTCATAATTTAAGTGATCAGGTGAGACTTTCACTCAAATTCAGTAGTTTGACCATACTTGCTGTTACTATTTACAGAACCATTATAATGAAACAACTTCTACTCATTCGATAGACAATACTTAAATAAGTTCTTCTCTGGTTTTTTTATGTTTAAATTTTTAAACAGTGTATTCAAAATCTAGAAGGAACGCTTAAGGCAAGTTTAGGAGTTGTGTTGAGTACCTGGTGGCCTGCGTGACTGTCAGGGAGCAGGCGGTTGGAAACAATATTGACATTGTCGGCAACAAGTCAGTTTGTCTGTGTTTTCCCCAGCAGAGGCCAAAGGGTATTATGTCAGTTGCCAGTGCTATTCAAATACATTTTGTTTTTCATAGTGATTTGAAACAGAGCTGGTGCTGTTAGATTTTGGAGTTCAGTTTAGAAAACATTTTAGTTTTGTAAATGAAGCAGATGGTAGAATCAAATTTATGTAAATATGGAAATACAATGATATGAAGGAATGGCATAATGATTACTAATTAAGTTGCAATGAAATCTATATTTCCTACAGCGAAATATTTTACGACGAATATGAGAAATTGTTTCATAGGTAATGGGCCACAGGAGGGCACTACTGGCTTTTACTTAAGAAACAGAACCATTTAGTCTCCCTATAAGCCATAATTCATTCTTCCCAATGAGAATCAGTTTTTTGAAAAGACAGTTCTGCAGCATTAATATTTCTACTGATGAATAAAACCTTTAGGTTTTTCAAACAATCAGGTATCTGAAATTGCTTTATCGTAAACATAAATGTTTCAAAATCCTTCATTTCCAAGATATCAAAGTTCTGGGTTGAGTCAACAGAATAAAAACAAACATTAAAAATATTGAACCCATAATTAACTATAAGCCACACTCTACCATTTTGCAGATGAGAAAACAGACCCAGAGAGGTTTAGACATTTGCCCCCAATTTTTAACTGCATTTATTTTCCTACCACTTAAAAACACATGGGTATTTAAAAACAGTGATATCTTAGAGCAGAACTTCACATATTTAAAACCAAAAACAATCCAGGAATAGAAACCAAGTCATGATCCTTACCAGAGTCATGTCAAAGAAAGCAGATGAAGAGTTAGAAAGCTTAGCCCACTCTTCAGTGGTGATACTGTACCAAATATTGGAATCGTTTCAAATTCTGTCATATCTTGATTGTCTTTAATGTGTCAAGCTATGATACTGTATAAATCTGTCCAATGTAATCCGTTACAAGGAAAACAACTTCATCTACATTTATGATCACCAACTCATTAAGAGCCAGCAAGAAAATGACACTAGAAATGAATGCCAACAGTCATAAAAACCTATTTGGTTTTAATTTTTAATGTGAAAAGGAGGAACGGAAATCTATAGAAATTTGACAAGCTACTACTTTGCCTTATCACTACATTTAGATATTACCATCAGTTTTTGAGTCTCTTAGATGTTGTTTGTGTTGCTAATATTACAATGACAGTGAAATTTTGAAGTTTGACTGTTTCTCACAATGAGAACTATTTTTTTGTTAACTGTTTATATAAGCTTCATAGAACTCACTGTGTACTTTAAAGAATTCTAAGATATATATGTACCTTATATGTATTTAGAATATATATACACACACACACACACAATTTATATGTAATACATTTTGTCTAACACATCCTTATCCTTTATATTTTTCAGCATCATTTTATACATCCTTACCTTCGAAATGTGGGTGAGGCAATATCTGGATACTTGGATCCTGGCTGCCTGAGACCTTGTGCACCACAGGCGCTGGCAGAAGTGGGGCTGGATTTGGGGGAACCTGACAAAGAGACACTTTCTGAATCTGAGACTGCTACTTTTTCCTTTTCCTTGTCTGTTTGGTTGACGGTGACAGGACTTGAGCGCCCTGACCCAATTTTAGTTGGTTCTCTCAGTTTGGAGGTGGTGGCCCCAGCAGACTTGCTGCTGACGTTGGAATCAATACTGCTGGTACTGGATCTGTGGCCACCTCGGCCAGGAATGCCACTGGTGCTGGACTTTGAAGGGCGGGGCAGGCTGCGATATTGTAGGGTAGTCTTAGAGCTAACATGCAGCACAACATCATCCTGATTCTGTGAACCGTCCAAACTGGTTTTTCTCCCTGCATTTGACTTCCCGCCAATGGCAGCAGATTTTGGAATTTTACCCAGTGTTGCAGAGCCACTTGTTATGGTTGCTCCACTGCTAGTGATCATGGCAGATGACCCTACTCCACTTGGTTTCTTAAAGCCAAAGGAGCTGGTGGCAGTCGATCTTCCAATGCCTGAGGGGGGCTTTTTCCCTTCATCTCCACTGCTTTTTCCTGCATCTGAAGGAGACCTTTGTAGAGATGATCCTTTTAGGGGAGCTTTTCCTTTCTCAGACGCTTTGGCATCATCGGTTTTCCCTAATTAATGAGAAATACAAATATGTATGCCTGTACAGTTTGATATCACCACACTTCATGAAAACAATGTGTAAAATGTGAATGCTTCTTTACATTACTTCCCTTCCTAAATGTATTGCCTTAGATCAATATTCTAACATATTGAGAGGACTGAGTGCATCGCTACAAAAATTTGGCTGTTAGAAGAAACATTATGAGAGACAGAAGAGATAAAATGAAAACATATGTTTTGCTATTTGTTAATGTCTTTTATTTTGCAACTCTTATCTTTAAAAGGACAGCACTTAATCCTATCAAGCTAATAACTAGAAAAAGAATTCATTCGAATATCTGTGAGATGATCACATTTGGAGAACCCTGTTAATTAGTGCTTCAGGTGGCACTATTTCTAATTAGGCACTATTTTAAAAATAGGGGGAGAGTCTTTTTAAAAAAGTATAGTACAATTTTGAAGAATTATTTTATTCTCTTCTTTCCTGAAGTCTAATACATAGACAATGTTTCAAATCTCCAGTATTCCAACTGATTAGTGTCATTGCTTTTTCCTCTCAGAGTCTGCAGTGAAATTCAGTGGCATATTTAGGGTAAAAATTCCAAACTTTCATTAAGAACTCAGAACAACAATGACAGAACTTTATTGTTGCTTTAGCAATCTAATCATATTTTCCCATGACCAGAAATAACTCTGGCAAAGTAAGGCATCCAGTACCCCTAGTTTGTGAGGGGGCTCTCCAGAGAATGCCTAGATATAGGCCCTACTTGGGCTTCTATGACGAGTTTGCGAAATGTAGATAAAAAATCTATTTAATTATTCGACTCCATGTTTAATATGGATAAGCATTTGATATTTTAGAAATGCTATTGTTAGAGAAAACAAAGACTGAATGGAAACAATAAAGTAAAGCACTTTTGCATAACAGCTGCCAGAAGACAGGCTTACCAGGAGTTTTGAGCGCACTTGTTCCAGCTTTCTGCCTAGATTGTGCCCCTCCTTGGGCAGACATGCCTCTTCTCCAGGAACCTGTCTGTGAAACAGATAGGGAAGCTTTCTGTCCTGCCTTCTCGGGGTCTTCAGGAAGTCCAGAGGACACAGTCTTCCACTTGCCACCAGCATCCCCATGGCTGTCAAAATCTTCTTCTGGTTTTTTCAGTTCCTCAGGACTATCCCAGGTCTCATCTGCGGTGGAGCGTTTCTCTGAATCTGTCTTCAGCTATAAAGACAAATATTACAGAAAAACTTTATGTAGAAAAATGTATAAAGTGTGAATTAAGGCAATGAAATGTACTTTCAGATAAGTAAATCCAGAGATTTCAGAAAAATCCAGAGATTCTATTTTGATCTATCTTCACTTAAATTTTATTAATTTTAGCCACAAAATTCCCATTTGCAGATATTAGAGAATGCCAAAATAAATATGTGCAGAAAACACCAATTAAACGCTACAGAAAGGGAGAAATTTTCTATATCAAATGTAGTAAGAAGTAGTAAGACGAGCTAGAACTTAATGATGTAATGTCCATTTTTGATTTATCATTCACAAGAGATCCAGTGATGTATTTCAGTGATCATAGAAAATTAATCAAGAACTATCTAAAATTAGACTATGAAAATACTTGTTGGATTTTTAAACAAATATATCAATATTATAAGGAGCGATATGGCAACATAAATCTTTCTGAATTAGATTGTAATCAATTGAATATATATTATATTAAGTATTGATATGTTACTATTATATTATATTAATATAGAATTATATATATTAATATATACATACCATATAACTTGGTGGTGTTAGCTATACAAATATAGTAATTCATTATTAATATATTAAATATATAAAATATATTTATACAATATATAAAATATATCTATTAATATATATTGTGTATTTATGTTTTATATTTGTATTTATATATAATATGTAATATAAATAATATAATAATATATTATATACATATATAAAAATATATTAAGTACATATAAATATATACTTATATACTATATATAATCTAATACATTAACAATAAATATATTTGTACAGATATCTATACCACCAGGCTATATGGTACATATATTACATATATATAACATACATATTACATATATATATATATGTAAGCTGCTTCTGTTTATTCAAAATTGGCTGAAGTGCACATTGTTGTTCCTCCTAAGGGTTGTGGCTTTAGGAAAGACTAAGATTAAAGACACTTCAGGGTTCAGGAGTGGCAAAAGGAGTCCTGATTATCTCTGCATTTTCCAGTGTCTGTATTAATTTTGGATTAAGAGATTGTGCTATACCTTAATCTAATATTAAGTAATTTGGGGGAAGAAACTGGCAGAAACACTGGAAAAAGAAAGGCGGTAATTCTCACCTGAGTGTTTTTCCTGGAGGGGACGGTGATGTTGGAGTAAGAGCTGACAGAGGATGTGGTGTTCAGGTCATCAGTGCTGATGTTATCAAGCGTGTCACTGAGACCACTGCTCACTGAACTGCTGTCATCCCAGCTAAAGGCAAGACATGCAAGAGCAGTGAATCAAACACAGGATGCACAATGCAAGTCACCTACATTTCCATACAACCTTCACAATGTATTATTAAGACAATCTTTTTTAAAAAAAATCTGATGAAAAGTCATTTACTTCCCATTTTGGGAAAATCATATGTATATGAACAGAGGGTCTACCTGAGAATAACCTTATCTGATATTTAGAAAGAATTAGTGTCTAGAACAGCATCCACATTCCAGAAGAATGTGTATGGAATGAATGAAATCACTGATACAAGTACTGCATGATATCATGAAAGAATAATATTACAGCTGACGTTTTTATTACTAAAAATTGAACCAGGAATCATAAAGCATGTACAAATTTATTCTTTGTTCTAAAAATCAAAGACCTGTGCTGTAGTCAGAACCAGAAAATCATTCATCATTATTCCTCCTAGCTTAGGAATTACTTTCATTCATTCACAGAGTCTTATTGGATGAGTCTCATTATTCTTTGATCACCAAGAATACTGAGATTCATTCAATCATAGCATCTCTCCTGCTATCCCTCACATTTCCATCCGTGATAACATACAGTATCCTCTTATCTGGCCTTCATGCTTTTGATCTTTCCCAATAAAACTTTTTCTGCTAACATGGAGTCACTGATCAAAAATTCGTATCTGGCCATGTCACAACCTTGCTCAATATTCTTCAAAGATTTCTCCTTTCCCAAATAGTGGTTACTAAAGTGAAATGCCCCTGTGCCACACAGTGTACAAGCAAATCAATCTGAAATATAAGAGAAATAGTTGAAATTCTGAATACAGTCATGTACTACATATTGTACTAACTAACTGTATTGTTACATACTGTATTAACAACAGGGACATGTTTTGAGAAATGCATCATTAGGTGATTTTGTTCATGGTGAGAATGTCATAGAGTGTACTTATACAAATCTAGATAGTATAACTTAACTACACACCTAGGCTATGTGGTATAGCCTGTTGTTCCTATGCTAGAAACGTGTACAGCATGTTACTGTACTGAATACTGCAGGCAACTCTAACACAATGGTAAGCATTTGTGATCAAAACATATCTGAACAAAGAAAAGGTACAGGAAAAATATGTTATTACAATCTTATGGGAGCACAGTAATATATGTGGCCTTTTAATGACCAAATAACTGAAGTGTCATTCTGTGGCACATGACTACATATTTATTTTTAATCTAAACAAGTATAAATTAAATAGGCTGTATTAATATCACATGGAGGATAACACAGGCACCTTTATTTAGTGAATGCATTAGATTATGCAGAAATGATGTTGAATAAGCAGCATAAGCTGAAGGAAAATAAGAACTCCACAATGAAAAGGTGGACCACAGTTCTCTCACTTACTGGATGGTTCTCAGCTTATTGTGATATATAGTCTTTATTAGTAGCATGAGAATAAACTAATACAGTAAATTGGTACCAGGAGTGGGGCACTGCTGTAAAGATACCCTTACCTATGCTCTTTCAAATTAATCCATGCACACTGAATAAACACATTATATACAGACAAAAGCTAAGTCTCATAAAATGGACACATGGATTAAAAAGGCGCCTGTAAATAATCTGTACATTGAAGAGAATATTCATCATGAAAGCACAAACTACAAGGAAATGGTAAACTGATACTTTATCTAGTCTTCTATACGTACTTTAAGAGTTACATCATAAGTCCAAAATAATGGTAATGTATTTAGATCACATATGAAGTCAACTAAAATGTAATTATCAGAAAAAAAAGAAAATTAAATTTATAGAATTATTGTTAAGACTGATTCCTCCCTAGGTGTATATTTTGCTTGAAGTTTTAGCTGCTGAGAGCATAATGCATCATAATTACCAATGACATAACTCAGATTATCAATAACAATTATATTTTTAATAAGAGCAAAATGGTATCTTGCATGACTATAGCACATATCTATCATCTGTGGTTGCTCAAATCTTTTAAAAATCTCCCCCACATCTTAATTTGATAAACTCTCATTCATGACTGACATGGTTTGGCTGTTTTCACACCCAAATCTCTTCTTGAACTGTAGTTCCCATAATCTTCATGTGAGTTCTCATGAGATCTGATGATTTATAAGGGTTTCTTCCCCCCTTCTGCTCATTCTTCTCCTCCCTGCCACCATGTAAAGAAGGATGTGCTTGTTTCACCTTCCACCATGATTATGTTTCCTGAGGACTCCCCAGCCATGCTGAACTGTGAGTCAATTAAACCTCTTTTCTTTATAAATTACCTAGCTTTGGGTATGTCTTTATTATCAGCATGAGAATAAACTAATATAGTAAATTAGTACCAGGAGTGGGGCATTGCTGTAAAGATACTCAAAAATGTGGAAGCAATTTTGCAACTGGGTAACAGGCAGAAGTTGGAACAACTTGGAGGTCTCAGAAAAAGACAGGAAGATGTGGGAAAGTTTGAAACTTCCTAGAGACTTGTTGAATGGCTTTGACCAATATGCTGATAATGATATGGACAATGAAATCCAGGCTCAGGTGGTCTCAGATGGAAATGAGGAACTTGTTGGGAACTGGAGCAAAGGTGACTCTAGTTATGCTTTAGCAAAGAGACTGGTGGCATTTTGCCCCCGCCCTAGAGATCTGTGGTACTTTGAACTTGAGAGAGATAATTTAGGGTATTTGGTGGAAGACATTTCTGAGCAGCAAAGTGTTCAAGATATGATTTGGGTGCTGTTAAAAGCATTCAGTTTTATGTATCCACAAAGATATGGTTTGGAACTGGAACTTATTTTTAAAGGGGAAGCAGAGCATAAAAGTTTTAAAAATTTGCAACCTGATGATGCAATAGAAAAGAAAAACTCATTTTGTTAGAAGAAATTCAAGCCTGCTGCAGAAATTTACATAAGTAACAATGAGCTCAATATTAAAAGACAATAGGGAAAATGTCTCCAGGGCATGCCAGAGACTTTTGTGGCAACCCTACTCATTGCAGGCTGAGGGAAAAATTGTTTCGTGGGCTGGGTCCAGGGCCCCCCTGCCATATGCACCATAGGGACTTGGTGCCCTGCAACCCAGCTGCTCCAGCTTTGGTTAACAGGGGCCAACGTACAGCTAAGGCCATGGCTTCAGAAGGGGAAAGCCCCAAGCTCTGCCAGCTTCCACAGGGTGTTGAGCCTACATTTGCACCGTCAACATTTGAGGTCTGGAAACCTCCACCTACATTCCAGAAGATATAAGTAAATGCTCAGATGTTCAGGCAGAAGTTTGCTGTAGGGGTGGAGCCCTCATGGTGAGCTTCTGCTAGGGCAATGTGGAAGGGAAATTGTGGGATCAGAGCCCCCACACAGAGTTCCCACTGGGGTACTGCCTAGTGGAGCTATGAGGTGAAGGCCACCATCCTCCAGGCCACAGAATGGTAGATCCACCTACAGCTTGCACCCATGTCCCTGGAAAAGCTGAAGGCACTCAACACTAGCTTGTAAAAGCAGCCTAGAGGGGGTTCTGTACCCTGCAAAGCCACAGAGGTGGAGCTGCCCAAAGCCGTGGGAGCCCACCTCTTGCATCATCATGACCTAGGTGTGAGATATGAAATCAAAGGAGATAATTTTGAAACTTTAAGTTTTAATGACTGCCCTATTGGATTTTGGACTTCTGTGAGGCCTGTAGCCCCTTGGTTTTGGCCAATTTCTCTCATTTGGAATGTGTATATTTACCCAATGACTGTACCCCCTTTGTATCTAGGAAGTAGCTAACTTGCTTTCGAATTTACAGGCTCATAGGCAGAACGGACTTGCCTTGTCTCAGATGAGACTTTGGACTTGGACTTTTGTGTTAATACTGAAATGTGTTAAGACTTTGTGGGGAACTGTTGGAAGGGCATGATTGTGTTTTGAATTGTGAGAACATGAGATTTGGGAGGGGTCAGAGGTAGAATTAAATAGTGTGGCTGTGTCCCCACCCAAATCTCATCTTGAACTGTAGTTCCCATAATCCCCATGTGTTGTGGGAGGGGCCTGGTGGGAGGTAATTGAATAATGGGGGCAGTTACTCTAATTGTGTTCTCGTGAGAGTGAGTTCTCACGGGATTTGATATTTTTATAAGGGGCTTTCCTTCCTTTCACTCATTTTCTTTCCTGCTACCATGTGAAGGACATTTGTGCTTCCCCTTCCCCCATGATTATAACTTTCCTGAGGCCTCCACAGTCATGTTGAACCGTGAGTAAATTAAACCTCTTTCTTTCATATTATATTTGCATTTGTATATGTTGAACAAAGATACTGTATGTTGAACAACACATACAGTATCTTTTCACAGGAATATATGCATATAAATTATAAAAACACAAATATACACACTTTGATGACCATTGTCTAAAGTAAAGCTCAGACTCTTTGAAAAGACATATATCAAGAAAATGAGAAGACAACCCACAAACTGGAATTTTTTTTTCCCCAAAAGACATATATTTTGGGTGAATAAAGCAACTGAAAACTTGTTTTTTCAATGTGATTATATAATTGTACATTCTTATCACAAAGAATGAGAATTTCAGCTGCTCCATATCCTTGTCAATACTTGGTATTGTCAGTCTCTGTAAAAGCCTATCTAGTAGTATCTCCTTACCATCTTATTTTGCATTTCTCTGATGACTAATGATGTTGAACATTGTCACATGTATTTATTAGAAATTTGTATATATTTTTGGTGACATGTACTTTCAAATCCTTAGACCACGTATTTATTGGGTTGTCTTAATATTATAATAATTTTTCTAATTTTTTGGATTTTAGTGAATTGTATTTCATTCTATATGGCATTAACATTAACAAGAAGTGGTTCTTCTAGTAGTATTGACTTAATGCCTATCCACCTGAGTTAACATTGTCAGTGAATGATACTGGATTAGTATTTTATTATTTTTATTTGTACAAATTTAAATGTTATAAGTATATAGTGCATAGTGATTTTGTTACATGTATATAATTGC